GTATATTTATACAGCACCCAACACCATTAGGAGCTGCCACGATAGAAATGGTGAATGATGATGATATAGATTCCAAGCCTGATCCTCAGCTGCGGTAACTCAACATGACGCCATTGACTTGTGGCCCAAAACATGCCAATGAATTATGTTGTCAAGGGTGATTAATGCTGTGAAAATAAAAAATCACTGGTTGCAGTTTCAACTCATCAGGGATTTAAAATAGTCCCCTACTTGCTGTCAGTAAGGAAGTATACAGATTACTTTTTACATCCCATACAGTAATAGGCATCCAATTGCTTATAAAAGCTTTATAATAACCGCCACTTCAGAAAGTTTGCTCCACAAACCAGTCTCAACAAAACATTCATTCTGCCTTGTCTCCATTTTCATTGTTATGTGAACAGTCTAGTTTAAGTACTTGTCTAAACAAAAGTTTATTGATGTTGCAGGCTGGCTGGGAGGCTGATGGGATTTTTTTTTTTTTAACAGGCAAAGCACTCTGTAAAGACAAATCACTAGATCTCACATTTCTCTTTATGCATTTGCAAAATAAAATTGCATTTAATTCATCTGTTTGTTTTCTTCTTTCCATGGGTTGGCTTCTTTTCCCCCTCATTCTTCTGCATTTTAACTCTCTAGGAGCTGAAAGCAACATTAATCAGAGCTGTACACTTGTGTTTTTATAATCACATGTTGGCCAGCTTATTAGAATATATGAGACTGTTTGTTCGGTTCAATATGCTGGAAGCAGAAGGATGTGCAATATTAATCGATGGCAGTGGGATTCAAATAGCTAACTAAGTCGTCTTTTGAAAATCCCAGCCTGTGTGTTCAGAAAAATGTACCGTGGTTTCTGGTTGCTATATCGTTGTGTTAATGGATAGCTGTGCGGTGCTTTCAGCTCATGCCATCTCTGCAATGTGTTAGTAACAGGATCTCCTTTGTTTGTTCTTTTTTGTTTGAAATTGCTGTAGACACGACTAGTCCAGAAAGCACCTCAGAGTCTCTCTTTCTTTCCCCAGGAGCGAATGCTGGAGTTAGCAAATTATGTACCTCCTGCGAACAGATCTTGATTTCATCCCAGGTGCGACCGGCATTAGTGACCAAACCCTTGACTTTATGGTCAACATAAATTGTGTAGACCAGGTCCTTGAGTTGCGGTCGCTGGCATGACTCTTGATCTCAATGAGAGTCTGAAGCCCTGCTTTTCTCAAGTGTTGCCTCCCATATACAATAGCGCGGGAGGGTCTCCAAAGTGAGATCTGATCCGGTTACAACCCTTGTAAGCTACAGGACACACAATGCACAGGATGCTGTTTGCCTTCTGTGCAATCCATATTTTCTTCCTATTGGCTCCATTTTCCTAACCATTTTACATGCTTCGTTTTTGGGTCTCGCAGCCCTTGCAGGGGTCTTTGTAAGAGTGTATCGTATCCCATTTCAAACAATGGGACTCATCTCAAAAACTGAGCATTTCCCGGTTTAATGACTTAATTGTCCGTTTAAAGACTTGGGTGCATATCAGTACCTCCGCCTAGCAATGTCACTGCCAAAATGTTCTTTACAGACTTTACTGTGCAGGAGAGATATTTTCCCTTTGTGGTTGTATAGAAATACGGATTAATAGAAAACAAGGGTGGGAAGGGACCTCAGGGGTCGCATCTAGTCCAACCCCCTGCTCCAAACAGGACTAGCCCCAACTACATCATCCCAGCCAAGGCTTTGCCTAGCTGGGTCTTCAAAACCTCCAAGGATGGAGAAGCCACAGCCTCTCTGGGTGACCCGCTCCAGTGCTTCACCACCACGTTCCATCACTTCCAATCCAAAGCTCTTCTTCTATGCAATCCTATCTAACGAGATACTTGATTTAAAAAATTGCAGGGAAGGATGGTCTTGTTCAACGTGTCATTTCAGTGTGAGCCTACTGGATGCCTAACTTTGGCAGAGGTTTCCTTTATATCACCTTAGGCAAGTCGCTGCGTCTCTGCTCTGCATCGGAAACACGGGAATCCAGTCAAATCCACTTCCCATAGCAGTGGATGCACAAAGGAGAGGTTAGCTGCTGCCAGCCAATCCTACCTTGGGCCAGTAAAGATAGTTTCCAGTTCTGATTATTTTCCTTTTTTTTTTTTTGTTAATTGGGGCTTATTTGACTAAAATTCATTGAAATGCCCCATTTTCCATGAAAAATGTCACTTTTCATGGCTTTTTCCTCCCAGTTTGAAATTTTACAAATGTCTCTACTGCAATTCAAAATTTCTTGTTCAGCTCTAGTACTAAAGAAGTCACTATTTTCAGAGCAACCATAAA